TCTCTCTCTCTCTCTCTCCCCTCTCATTAGTGAACTTGGCTCTTCATCATTCATTCCTACATTATTCTGCCATTTTTAGAAATGATCTCTCAGTTGAGTTGTTCATACGGCTTCCTGTCTAAAACAATCATCTGTATAAACGACCACTTCACATGCCCCTGCTTCCTTGCGTTTTTAACTCTATGTTATCCTGACACTGTCCGGGACGTCCACCTGTCAAAATTAAATAACCAACTTTTTCCTCGACATTGGATGGCCGTCTTGACCGAACTGGTAACGTAAAAAAAACTCCCCCCCCCTCTCTCTCTCTCTCTCTCTCTCTCTCTCTCTCTCTCTCTCTCCCCACCCTTTTTTTCCACGCTAACCATAAATTGAACATTTGTTCTATATATTATTTATTGCTACACAATACACTTGGTGGGTGGTTGGTGTGTGCTCTGGTGTGGTTTGCTCCTTCTTTCCAATCAAACATCTATCATCCTTTATTCCTTATCTCTCCTTTTTTGTGTTTGTTACTCTCTTGTAACACCTCTGATCTTCGGCACATCTATGACCTAATTGTGTTGCAAGTGCCGTGAAACTCTTACTAAAGTAAAACTAAACAAAGACACACTTGGCTGCCAGGATGGGGTCAGGTATTATGAGGGGGGGGTTGTTCTTATTCTGCCGCCAGCACCAGTCTGTGAAGTTCAGTTGTAGTACACTAGTAAGAACGCACGTGCGCACAAAAATAAATAGACGATTGTAAAGTTATACCCAACGCCCTTTTCGCCGCTCGTGTTCTTCTTGAATTCAACATTTGCTCCATTATTGCTGAACATTGCTGGCTGGGGAGCTCTTCTTCGCCTCATGCTGGTTTGGGTGTTTGATGTCTGGTAAGTACATTCCCTGGTTCACCGTTTTCCCGCCTCCTGCCTGTGACAGGTTTGCTGAGAGACTGGCAGTCCCCGAATCTTGTCCAAAGAACTTGCAAAACTCCGAGATATAAATCCGGATAACCGGTTAATCCTTCGAAAAGCGGTTAAATGGTTCATGAGGTTTAGTTTAGACCTAGTTCAATCAATTGTATTGATTTGAAGCAGCTGGCGATGCTATTTCACGACATAGTTCGACCACTCTTGTTCACAGAATGATTCTGGGTTATTTCAGTTTTTAAAATACTCTTGTGTGGTTTGCTCCTTATTTCCTATCAAATATCTATCGTCCTTATTTCTCCTCCATTTTTGTGAATATGTATGTTACTCTCTTGTAACACGTCTATTCCGTGGGACTTATGTGGCCTTATTGTGTTGCAATTGCCACAGAACTCTTAATTTAACTTACAATATTCACACTGTTTCATCAAACTGTTTTTGTTTGTTGTTGTGTAAGGGTGAAGGGATGGTAAAGGGAAAAAGAGGGGGGGGCTGATGAAAGTTTGGGAATCAGAAAGTTTACTGTTACTGACTGACTGACTGACTGACTGACTGACTGACTGACTGACTGACTGACTGACCGACTGACTGACTGACTTACTTACTTACTTACTATCTATCTATCTATCTATCTATCCATCTATCTATTTA